AATGTAAATTAAAATTTAATCTTAGTTAATTATTATATTTGATAAAAAATTTGAATTTCAAAAACAAAATATTGTAAAAAGTAAAAATATATATACTATATTTAACATTTTTAAAAAACTTAGGAGGTAATTTGTTACGACTAAAAAAAATTATGTTTGTTAGTTAGCGGAATGTTTACCAAGTAAATCATTTGAAACAAAATTGATAATTTATAAATTATTTTGAAAAAAAAATTCCAAATTAAAATAAAATAAACTACATAATAATTAATAGACTATTTATTTATTGAATTTAACCCAAACACTTGACGGGAGAATCATGGACAACACCAGATTGCGCCTAGGTCTCGATACTATAAATCCTTTGTATATTTCAAGTGTCGACATGTCATTCGTTGACAAGGCATGTCTCCAGGCCGCTCCCGCGCGTGCATTGGAATCAAAAGATCGCAACTTTCTACTGCAATACAAGCATTGGCACTGCCAACTCAAACCCTCCAACTGACACTCCGTGAGATCGTGCTTTAACTCACAAATATTCAAGTGAATTTGAGATTGATTGCAAGTTGGAGTACTCGAGCGAGCTAGCACTTAAACTTCAATTCAAGATTCTTTTTTTAAGTAATTTTAAATTGTTTCGATAACTAATTATTCAACCATAAGTTTTTTTTATTTATTTTTAAAAAATATTTAATATCAAAAGCTTAAATAAGAGCATTAAGTCAAATAGTAAAAAAAAAAAAAAATTATAAATTCAATTTGAACATTTAATTAATAACGATTAAGGTGAAGCAAGGTCAGAAATAATGATTCTCTTTATGATAAATAGATCCATTTTGCAAGTTCATTATTACGGGTAGTTCTAAAAACTTAAAATATGTAATTTATAAGTTATTATATATTTAAATTATAATAAATATATATTATATTAGTATATATCAATTAAATTTTAAGAAAATTAAGAAAAAAAATCTTAAAACTATGATATTTCACTAAAAAACTGTTAGAAAAACTTCAAACAAACTCTTTCTTGATTTAAAAATAAGTTATTTTATTTTTTTAATAAAAATTTATTAAAACAATATAATTTTAGG